AGTTTAGTTATATTTGCAAGTATAATATTTCATAATACCTAGATAAATGACATAAGAGACACATAAATATTTGAAAATATCTTTAAAGTCGTAATTATTTAAAAAAAAATACATGACTATCATAATACCTAGATAAATAACATCTTTATTGATTAAAGATACTCATTTATCTATATATTTTATCCAACATAAATTATTGTCGCATCTTCTAAAATTGTCATACATGCATTATCTTCGTTCACGGATTTTCAAGACTATATATAGTGTATTTTCCCTACTTTTGAGAAGTGGTTTGAAACATTTAGTTTATGAATGATTTTATAAATAAGATATGCTAAAGACAACAAATTTACTATTTAATTGTAATTATTTTCTAATAAGTACATGTATTGTAAAATTTAACCTTTAAGGTAGAATTTTAGTTATTTTATTATGTAATTAATCTATTTTTGTTTATACTACAATTCAGTAAATGCTATTTTAATTTATGTAACACATTATTATATAAGAACATTTATACTATACATATTATTAACAAACAGGTAAACTTAAATCATATTATGCATTTTGATTTAGTGAATAATATAACGATTATTTTTGTTAAGATCATATCTTTTTTTACTTAACAAATAATTTTTTTCCATTGAAAGTTGACATTTTGTATGTTGAATAATTATTTTTGATTCAATCATTCAATTGTTTTTGTTAAGATCATATCTTTTTTACTTAACAAATAATTTTTTTCCATTGAAAGTTGACATTTTGTATGTTGAATAATTATCTTTGATTCAATCATTCTTAAACATATACATGTTCACTAAATTGTTCCTTTTTAATTTTTTTTAATACTATAACCAAAAATTTGTATGGTAAACAATAAGATATTTAGAAATTAAAGATGATACTTGTAGTGGTGCATTAATATTTTATACTTATGAAATATCATATATTTTATATTTAAAAAATCTTAAAATAATTTTTTCTCTTACATTTTAAAACTACCTTTAGAATAACCAAATCGAAACCTAACGTCATATGTACATTAATTCAGAATAATATAATTAAGAATAAAAAATTATTTAAAATATATGGATTTGCGTAGGTAATGTTTTGTATGTGTAAGAACTTAAAGATATAATTAAGCATAAAAAATAAAAGATAATAAATAGAAGTTGTAACTTCCTAACATTAATAAAAAAGATTACATTAATAACCTTAGAACTTATCTTTTTATGAGGGTATTCTTAGCAATTCAAAAGTTTCAAGAAACAACTCTTCCTTTTAAGAGAGTTATAGATTTGAGAATTGCTCATTCCATCTTTGTTCTTTAATTTGTTTTCCAAGTCCTGGATGTTTCATTCTTAAAGAGTCTTTTTATCTATCCATTTTATATATTACATGGTGACTACTCTGACTAGACTTGTTTTCCTCCGAAGGATGAGGCGCCCGATCTTGTGAACCCACTCGTAACATCTTTTGTGGATCGGCATAAATCATCGTCTGCTACTCTTCAAACTGCAGCTTCCTAATTATGAATACTGTTCGGTCAACATCCACATGTTACTCGAAATGAAAATATGTATCGAGCGATTTTACATGACTTTCTATTGGAGTTTCTGAACTGATTGATCTGTGTACTAGTTTCAGTAACATAACAAGTAAGTGTGTGTGTGTGTGTGTGTGTGTGTGTGTGTGTGTGTGTGTGTGTGTGTGTGTGTGTGTGTTACATGTAAAGGAAATACAATTGATTATGAACTTTGAATGGATTCAAAACCTTTTTTTTATTAGAGTTTTTCAGCCAAAATCTCGCAGCAACCCAAATTGAGCTTTACACAATTTAATAGAAAGCATCCAACAACTGGTACAACCCTTGGGAAAGATCTATATGCTCACTAGTAAAAGCCAATGCAAGTAACTTAGTTCATGTACAGAGGAAATTTTCTCACCACTGCAAATCTTTCCACGCGTCTCGGGACAAAGAATCGCGTGAAAGAAAAAAAAA